CAGCACAATGGAATGTCTTTGCATAGTCAATAAAACAAAATGGAACATACTTCTAGTATTCTCTGATTTCAGCCAAGATCCATCTGATATCAGCTATTCTATTGGATCAAGGCAGTGAGGACTTGAAGCATTTGCTGGTGAAGATTAAAGATTTCTGCTTTCAATATATATTATAACTTAATGTTAAAAACAAAACCCTCACTAATAGTCAACATCATGAGATGCTGAGCTGGTGGTTTTCAGCGATTGACCTTGCAATTATCAGCCCAATACAATTGCTATACCACCTGAATTTTCGCATGAGCAATTGATGGTCTACTCCACAATTAGATCTTGGCCTTGTTTTATCTGTTGGCATTGAGCCTCGCCATAATATCTTCCAACAGATGTAGTCAATTTTGATTTCTGTGTATTTTATCTGTTGTTGAAAACAATGTATTTTTGATGAAGAAGTCTTTGGTCTTGCAAAATTCAGTCATGTGGTAGTCATTGGCCTTGCACAATTCTATCTCCAGCTTTGTCTAGATAACAAATGCCATATTTTCCAATTACTGTTCCTTCCTCTTTGTTTCCAACTTTTGCATTCTGATTGCCAATAATTATCAATGCATCTTCATTGCATGTTCGAAAAATCTCTATCTGAAGATGTTAAGATTCTTCAATTTCTTCATCACTGTCTTTAGTGATTGGTGTATAAATTTGAATAATCCTTGTAGTGACAGGATTTCCTTGTATTAAGATAGATATTATGCAGATAGCAATGTACTTCCAGATAGATCTTGAAATGTCCCTTTTTCACAATGAATATGATGCCATTCTTCTTCAATCTGTCATTCTAGGTACAGTAAACCATATGACTGTCTGATTCAAAATGTCCAATACCGGTCCATTTCAACTCACCCAGCCCTAGGATATAGATCTTTCTGCATTTCCTTTCATTTTTGACAACTTCCAGTTGTCCTAGATTCATACTTCATACATTCAAAGTTCTAATTAGATGTTTGCAGCCACTTCTTCTGATTTTGGGTGATGCAAATGAAGGTCCTAAAGGCTCTGTTCTATCCACAGCCTTATGGTCGAGTTGGAATCTTCAGTCATATTTTGTGTGTTTTCCAATTTCAAGGGCTCCTCTTCTGGCACTATATCTGACAAATGTTCTGCTTCTATTCATAAGCTTTCAGTGTCTAATTCCTCAAAGTGGACAGCCATTTCCTTCTCTGTAGTTTGTTCTTAGTCTGGAAGCTCTGCTGAAACCTGTTCACTTTGGGTGGCCCTGCTGGTATTTGAAAGGCCTATGACATAGCTTCCAGCATCACTACAGCACACAAGCGACCACCACAGGACAAACTGACAGACAAGTGGTGTAAAGGTATGGGACTAGGTTATGGACAGTTGGGTCTCTGAATAACTCGGGTCTAAAGAAATATGTTGATCTCACAGTTGTAGAAACACAACGTCATCAACATTTTGACTTAAATCTAGTAATCAGACTATTGAGAGATAAATTTCATTAAAAAAAAAGATTGTTTTAGCCATTGATCTCTTCAGGCTAATGATTACAGGGCTCCTAACATGTGCTAAGGAGCACTTGTGGTGCAGTGGATTACACATTGGGCTGCGCAGCTCTTCAAGAGAAAAGTAATGCTTTCTGCTTCTGTGAGGCTTTACAGCCTTAGAAACCCAAAGGGACCATTTTACTCTGCCCTATAGGGTTGCTATGTGTCAGAATTGACTCCACAGGAAGTGAATGAGGCCATGTGCTAAGTTATACATGTGCATCTTATCACTTGATCTCTTAAAAATATAGGTTGAAACTATTATTTTCCTCATCCAGATAAGGAAACTGACGTTGAGAAGCACTGCTGTCAAAAGTATATAGTAAATGTTGAATGTGATCTCAAAACTATTTAGTGTCTACATGTAATACTTTTTGATAACACCAAAAATTTCAGCAATTAGTGGAATACCGACTATGTCTATGTCCAGTGCTAAGATGTTTTACATGGGTTACATTTTTCATAGAAACCCTATGTATTATTCCCATTTAAAAGATGAGGACACCAAGGCTAAAAAATTCTAAGGACTGTGGTCAAAATCTCACTGCTAAAAATGGCAAAGAAGTGTGTCAAATTGACATTTGTCTTACTCCAGAGCTCATACTCTTTGCCACCATGTTCTACTGTCTTCCATCTCTTAGTTAAATAAAGGGAAAAATAAATCTCCTCAAATGCTAAGTATAGTGAAAACATAAAAGATTGTGGGTATTTCATTTTAACTTTGTATAGGTGTGCAATTTACTGACAGCAATTACAATACTTAGCTGTACAAAAGATAAAAAGCAAAGCTTATTGCCATGGAGTCAATGCTGACTCTTACAGTTTATGGGAGTAGTAATCCCAGACATAGTGGTTAGCTGCTATCCACATGACGGGTCCAAAGCACCAGTAGTTCAGTGGGAGAAAGACTGGGCTTTCTACTCCCATAAACAATTACAGTCTCAGAAACCCACAGGGGTTGCCATGAGTCAGCATTGATTCCATGGCAGTGAGTTTGGCGGGGGTGGGGGTTGGGGGGTGTTTGTTCCTCTCCCTGAGAGGCTGGTGGTTTTGAACTATTCACCTTGGAGATCACAGACCAACACTTAACCACTATACCACCAGGGTTCCCATTAGCTATATGACCCTTTCCTTAATTAAGGTGTTATTTCCATCACTGTTAACCACCCCCCTTTGGCAAAAGTTGTGAGAAAGCTATGTATATTTCTAAAAACAACAAGAAATAAAAAAGAGTATCTGTTGATATTGCTTACATACAACCAAAACCCTCATGGGATTTGGTATCTTAATTTGGAACCAAATCAAGAGTCATCGTTTCATGGAACATCCCAGTTAATTGGTCGAGTAACAAGTTTAATGCTTCTGTTCTACTTCTTAGTTGGATACATAATGTCTGGAATTTTTTAAAATCATTTTATTGGGGCTCATACAATTCATCGCAATACATAGATCAATTGTGTAAAGCACACCTCTACATTTGTTGCCCTCATTATTCCCAAAATTCGCTTTCTTCTTGGATTCCCGGAATTAGCTCATTTTCCTTTTTTCCCCTCTCCCTCCCTCCCCACTCTCCCCTCCCCCATGAACCCTTAATAATTTATAAATTATTATTATGTCTTATCTTACACTGCCAGCATCTCCCTTCACCCACCCCTCTGTTGCCCATCCCCCAGAAAGGAGGTTATATGTAGATCCCTGTGATCAATTCCCCCTTTCTACCCCCCCTTCCCTCCTGGTATCACCACT